GGAGGGTGGCATGATCTTTAGAATTGGTCAGAAACTGAGAGAAGACTCTGGGGTCCAAGTGCCTGAGACCACATTTTGTCTAAACAAAATCTCCTGACACACAGCAAATTTTGATCTTCCCCATTAGAGGTGTCAGAGGCTTCAAGTGTTGCCTGATGCTTAGAGTGCACAGTAACGGCTGTCTGTTTTATCACCAGTTTAACATGTACTGTCTTTTCACTCAGCACCTTCATTGCCAGGAACCTATCCCAAGAAATGCAAACCCACAAAATACATGTAAGACCACTCATTTTAGTATTATTTATAATGATGAGACATGACCCAGAATGGCTAAGTCTCATTCTGGCTAAGTCTCAGCTGAACACCTTTAGGGACACCAGTATCCCAGAATTCAGCCACAGAAAAGTTAAGAGATCTCTTTATTTTATCCATGAACTTTCTCTAAGAAATGTAACTTGAAATCAGCTTTCAGAATAATACATACCTCCCCCCTCCATATTGTCTTAACAATTAGGAAAAAAAAATCACTGTATCTGTGAGCATGTCTTGGGAAGGCTAGCTCCTGACTAGTCATCTTCAGAGGAGAGGCAGGATCAGCAGTGTTTTTTTTTTTTTTTATTATCAGTCTGTAAGTTTTCTCATTGTCTGAGATGACTATGCATTACTTTTTTCAACTGAAAAATAGGGAAGACAGAGTTTGGGTGATGAGTCTGTTGTTGAGGTGTTTGTCATACAAGCACGAGGACCCCAAGTTCTATGTCCTAGCACCCACATAGAAATCCAGGCCTGGGGTTCACATCTCTAATCACAGTGCTGGGGAGGTAGAGACAGGAGGACCCCTGGGATAGCCTAGCATAATTAGCAAGTTCTAGGCCAATGGAGAGACTCTATGTCAAAAAATGAGGTGGTCTCTGAAGAATGACACCAAAGGTTGACCTCTAACCTTTACATGCATGAACACACAAGTGCAATAGTAAGATTGAACATATTGAATGTGACTATTGATCATTGGTCCCTTTTCAATAATTTTATTTAGTGTGTATACACACACACACACACACACACACACACACACACACACAAACACACATGCCATGACCCTGGATGAAGGCAGATCTAAGTACACATCCTTGCTTTGTTCAATGCATTGGTGAGTTCCATGCATCTGTGTGGTTCTCATTTCTATGATGTGCCTTTCAGTGAGACTTCAGGAGGCAGGAGAATGTTCTAGTTGGTCTTCAGCACAGGACAGGATTCCTGTCTCTGGGCTCTGATTCTAGTGTCTTCACAGATTGGGAAGACAGGTGCCTACCTGCAGTTCCTCAGTATCTTGTCCAGGATGCTGATTCGGCTGACAGAAGTGGATGTTTATGATGAAGAAGAGATCAATACCAGTGAGTTGTTTCTGGTGACCCTTGGGCTTGGGCAAGTATCCTTCGATCTTTGTCAGTGGCCATGGTAACTGTGTCTCCTTCCCCCTTTCAGGATGGACTCTCATGTTCACAGTTTGGCTTGTCCCAAGAGTCTTTTCTTTCTTGTCTTTTTTTTCTCAATATAGAATAATACTTCTGAGACTTTCATAGGGATAGAGTTACTAATGCCGAAATAATCCATGCTTACCGGGTATTTTCTGTGTGTCAAACATTGTGATAGATACTATCTCCATTTGATCTTCAATACAGCAGCTGTGTGAGCTGATCTATTGACCTCTTATGTTAGGAGCCCAGCTAAGCAGTATCAAAGCAGGAACTGGGCTTCACTGGCTTGTGGCCTATAGAATATGGAGGTTTTCATCAGGGAGGGTCCCCCAGCTCAGGCAACAAATATCCAAGACAACATTTAGGGGAGAAAGAATTATAGAAACTGGGAGAAGGAGGTGTCTGGGTCCTGTTTGCTGAGTAGATTTGATTGGAGGAAGGCAAGCATCTTTCTGCATATGCCCTGTGCTGATGTTAAAGTGCACACTGTTTGTTCCTTATCCTGCTCAGGATATATCTGTATCTTCCTCATCTGGCCTTGTACTGCAAATAAACCTGTGTCCTTGTGTAGGGGGAATTGACTGCCATGCAGAAGTCACCATCTGCACCACACTGGTGTCAGAGAAGCTCCTGTGAGCACTGTGTGAGGTTAAGCTTAGTCAGGACAGATCTCAGTGCATGACCTTGTCCAGTTAGAAGCTTTCTAGATACAGTAGGGGTCCTCAGAAAGCCATAGATTGACAGTGATTCAGTTCCACACACCACCCTTGGGCACAGTTAAATAACTCAGCCTTACATCTTGTTTCTCATGCGTCCCTTTTCCTGACTATCTCACAGGCCTCCAAGAGGAATCGGATTGGCATTACCTCCAGCTCACCGACCCCTGGCCAGACCTGGAGCTCTTCCAGAAGATGCCTTTTGATTACATCATTCATGACCCAAAGTATGAGGATGCCAGTCTGATTTGTTCACACCATCAGAGCATCAAGAGTAAAGGTCAGGGGCTCGGGAGACAGCTGGGTTGCCAAAGTGCTTGTTTCCCACACATGAAGACCTGAGTTCAGATCCCCAGCATCCATGTAAAAAGATTAGCATGGCAGTGCATGCCTGTAACTAGGGGAGTAAGTTGAGACAGGTAGATCTCAGGGACCTGCTGACCAACCTCTCTAGCCAATCAGTGAGCTTCAGATTCAGACGAGATCTTATCTCAAACAATAAAATGAAAAAAAAAAACCCAACTCTTGAGGAAGACCTCTTGAGGTCTTCCTCTAGCTTCTACATGTTCCTATGTGGGTACACATGGGAACACACACACACACACACACACACACACAGAGTGAGGCCACACTGGTGTCTTACTTTACTCTTGTCCAAAGTGCATAGGCTAGATTGCTTCCTATGTATTATTAGAAGTCAGCTGGTTTGAGATGTATCCTGTTAGTGATGCTATTTGGTATTAAGTGAGTGACTTACCAGAACCTGGTTCAGCACTGACACTGCTCCCTGTTGGTGAAGGGAAGAACTACCACAGAGCCCATGAGAGCCCCAGGAACTTGTGGTCAGAATATGCTGAAAGTTTGGTTAGTGGAGGGCAAAAGATATGCATATCTATTTATGAACTTGTCACCAAATGGGTGTATGTGTTCCCCTGTCCTCAGCCTCTTGCTTTCTTCTCAGGGACACTGACTTTTATGGTATATGAGGGCAGCTTTAGCTAACAATACTGGGAGTGTCTAATGGGATTATTAGTGTAGCCTGAGAAAATGTGGTAAATGTCATGTCAGGGAAAACAGCTTACCTACAAACTGGGGTATGGTAGTGTATACCTGTAATCCCAGCACTCAGGAGGCTGGGGGCAGGAGGATCAAGACTTTAGGGTTAGCCTAGACTACACAGTGAGATCCTATCTCTTAAAAAGATAAAGGAACCCGCTGGCCTGGCTCCCTGTTACTGGCGGGAGTTGTGTGTGTCCCTTCTCATAGATAGATAAGCCCTAATGAAGGCCTAGTGTTATAATCTTAATTCCTATCAAGTTGCTTGAGGAAGCTGGGGATCACACATGCTGTTAATTTATTTTCCAGTCATGTAAGGGTTCCTTCAAAATGTTCATGAAGTACTTTTGGATCCTAAAGTGCAAGGACATGCAGTCTGAGTTGTCTCTTTGTTAGCTTCCCCACTGAGACACTGCCCTCCTCTGACCAGGGCCTAGGGATGTGAGAGACAATCTTCAGGGTGTGCACAGCCTGTTCATGGGCTGCCTGCTTATTCTGAGCACTGCGCTCATTTGAGTTCAGCAGGCAGGGCTCGGGTGTTTGCTCTAGGCTGCTGCACCTTAACTCTTGGAATATCTTTGCAGATAGAGGGCTGTCCAGGAAACCAGAGGACCTGTATGTGCGTCGTCAGACAGCACGTATGAGACTGTCCAAGTATGCGGCATACAACACATACCATCACTGCGAGCAGTGCCAGCAGTACATGGGCTTCCACCCTCACTACCAGGTAGGCCTCAGGCACTGGCTGGCTCTCCGGCTGCTCCCAGCAGCTCCTGCTGGTGCAGCATCACAAACCTCATATTTTTTTCCCCTGAGGCTTCCTGATAATATGTGATATTGTCAGGATAACAGAAGAGTGTTCTGGAAGCTCTTGCTTCCTGAGTTGTATGCATTCCAGCTTGACCTCATAGGTGGTGAATATATTGTTGACCCTACAGGACAGTGATTCCCCTGTGGACATCCAGGCAGGCATCAATGACCAAGAATAAATAGTATGCCATTCCTATATTTAGACTCTAAAGAATCCAAAAGTTACTTCAGTGTTAGTGCCACTCACTGAGTACTTCCTTCAGGACCTGGGAATGCAGACACAAATAAATCTTGTTCCCATCCTTTGGGTTCATGGTCTGGGAGGGAGATGGGCATCTGAGCAAGACTTCAGAAAAGCATGAAGCAGGAAGGAGAGTTATGTGGTTGAGGCATAGAAATCACATAGATAAGGGAAGAATTTGCTTTATTGAGCGCCTACTGTATGCCAACAGGATGCTTATGCGTTTCGCATACATTAACCCTTCCTGCCATGAGTAAGCAAATAGATAAGTTCCTAGGCTAGGACTCTGGCCATCTCAGGCTCCGACTGGCCATCAGGGCACCATGTGTTAACACCATACCAGTAAGTCATTCAGGCTGGCTAGAAAACTATCCTAGCTAGGCTCTTACTGGATTCTCACCTAAGCATCTCATCACCATCCCTGCCTCACAAATGAAGACATAGCTTGAGCGTCCCTCATCGGAAGATCAAGTCATCACTAACACGATGCTCAAAACAGCTCCTATTTCAAAGCCTTTGGGATTTTAGTCTATGGATGCCCCACTAGAAGAGTCCATAGAAGTGTTACAAAATCTGGAAAAAAATTCTAATGTCCTTGGGATCAAGCATCTCAGGCGTGGGACATTCAACCTTTATAATTCAGGTGAAAGGGAAAGAGCATATGCCAAAAGGGTTGGGCAGAGTCTCTGGGGATGAGAACTGATCTCAGCAGGGTGTGGCTGGAGCACAGAATGGAAGGTGTGGGTGGCCTGAGGAGTCAGCGGGCACCGGGAAGCAGGTGAGCTTTCTTCAGAGGATTCTGTAGGGAAGGTTGCAGCTTGGATGGACTCTTCCTAGCTTGTTGGTTTTTGCAGAGTACTGGAGGTTAGCTATTAGTAAACATATAAAGTCTAGTAATTTAGATTTGAGAGTTTCATCTTAATTCAGACCCAAGCAGGCGAAGCCGGAGGACACAGAGGGTTGGAGCAGGTGGGAGCCAGGGACATCTGTTCATGGTAGGAAATTGAAGACTGTGGTCAGTCCGGAAAGGCCCCAACGCAGGGATTCCCACTTGTTGTTTGTCCTGCTTACAAAGGGAAACACCGTCCTATGGCTTTAATCCAGCCTTGTCTTAGGCTTGGACACCCACAGTATAGCAAATGCCTTTTTTAGAACTATATTTTAAGTATGCAGCTTTACCATAGATAATATTGGAAAGGATTTTTAGCAGGTCAAAGGACTAATACTATTCATGTCAGATAAACGAAGACCATTTTTCCCCATGTTGGGCATGAGGTTTTTGTTTTAAGAATTCACAACAACCGTGTGAAACCATCTTCTTTTCTTTTTTAAATAAGTCCTCACATTTCACTGAATTTAATTGTTTTCACCATTGGGATAGAGTCTGTTTGGGCAGAAAGAGTTACTATTTTCTTTACCTTGAATTTTAATGTCTTGGTACAGGTGATGCACTCTCAGACTCATGTCTCAGTCCCTCCATGTGCATGGATTGCATTCTAAACTGTTGAAGGCATTCAAACTCGTAACCATTTACTCCAAAACAATGCTCTAAATGTATTATTCAGCATGTTTCCCACTTAACATATTGGGGATTTTCCTACCTAAATATAGAGTTGTTTTTAGATATTTCTCCTATGCATATAGAAGATTTATAAAACGTCAACATTATAAAAGCAATTGCTCCTACCTGTATACTCTTGACAATCAGAATATCACATACTTGTGGTGAGACTATTTACTTGGTTTTTGAACTTTAGTAAACTGAAAAGGACTCACATGTTGGAATCACTAGTCATGGCAGTAACGTTCAACAGAAAATTGTTACTTAAAATTAAGGGCGTGTCTCCTCTGCATTAGTGGAAGCCCAGAACACAGGGGACAGGAAGCAGAGACACCCTGTGTTTAGATGGTGGGATACTCTTGGCTCATGCTCATGAGGTGTGTGTGTTTGGGGGTACTTAAATAGGAGCATACTTAGGATGGTAAGGGGATCTGAATCCAGTCTGGTGATGGATGCAGAGGCACCAGCCAGCTGATGTCATCTGATTTTGGCCCCCGTGTCTCTGCTTCTTCTCTCCTCTCTTCTGTCTTCTGAGAGTCAGTCTCTGACTCTGACTCTATGTCTCTGTCTGTCTCTGTCTCTCTTACTCACTCTCGGTTTCTCTTTTTAATGAATCTTCTTCCCATTGCCACCTTTACTACATAGCCCCCGGGTCTAATCCCCTTGCTTTCCAGAAAGCTCTGTGGCTCTAGTAGAGCCCTAGTAGGAACACAGACTGTGTGCTGGTGTGCTGCACTGTTCTCTGCAGCTCCTGGCATGAAGGGCAGTCAAGTAGGAAAGACAACGGTCAGGAGGATCTAAGAGGGTGCTGCAGCCAAGAACAAAGCTAGATGGGGGTGGGGTGAGGTGGGGATCACTCCCAGAAAGGAGTGCACACAGTCATGTGGGGTAGGAGGAAAGTGAGGTTAGACCCAGGGACAAGAGTGAGCCCAGGACCACTGGATACTAGCTTCTATGTCTGTACAGTGGGATAGCATTCTTGCCTCCTAGGAAAGGCAGTCCTTCCCAGGGTTGTTAGTGACCATGCAGAATAAACTGAATTTTTATTTACTTTATTCTGGCACAAGACTGAATGTATTAAGACATTCAAGGTTAGTTTTCTGTTAGATGCCAGCTCTCATGACACCTATAAAAGAAAATGCCCCATTAAAATGAAAAATGCAAGCTGGGCTTAATGGCATAGGCTTGTAATCCTAGCTACACAGGTGATGGAGGGTGAGGATCATAAGTTCAAGGCCTGCTGGGGCAACTTAGGCACTGATTCAAAAAGTTGAAGATGGCTTAGGGCTGTAGCTTCATGGTAGCATGCTTGCCTAGTACATGTGAGGCCTAGGTTTCATATGCCATAGTTTAAAAGAAGAAATATTAAAAGCAAGATCTAGGGCTGGTGCGCTGGATTGTTTAGTTCATTGCTTGCCTTGCTAGCGTGAAGCCCCGAGTTTGATTTCCAGAACCCACAGAAAGAAAAAACTAGGTGTGATGTTGGACACTTGTAATCCCAGCACTGGGAGGAGAAGCAGGCAGATGTTGGGGTAGCTTGCTTAACTTTGCAGGTTCTAGGCTAATGAAAGAGCCAACTAGCTTGCTTAACTTTGCAAGTTCTAGGCTAATGAAAGAGCTTGTTTCAAAAAAAGTAAGGTGAATAGTACTTGAAGAGAGACACCCAAGGTTGTCCTATGGTCTACACATACATATACACACATGAGCATCTACATGCATACATACATGCACACACACACACACACACACACACTCAGAAAGGCTTGGTGACCTAAGTGACAAGTACTCAGGATGGAGCCAGGCTCTAGCCTGATCTAGGTGATCTTGGGTGTGCTTACCCAGTAGCCATATCAGAGCATCTGTGTTCTATACTGTGAGTCTCTTGCACTTTGGGGCAGAGGTGGGGTGTGACCTGGGTGTAGTCCTGGCCAGGCTGGGCCTGGGTTCTTTCGGGAAGCAAGTTGGACTGTGACGCTAAGCTCTGTGCTCTCCCCTCGCACCCCAGCTCTCTGAGTCCACCCTGCACGTCTTTGCCTTCTCTTGCTCCATGCTAGGAGAGGAGATCCAGCTCCACTTCATCATCCCCAAGTCCAAGGAGTACCACTTTGTCTTCAGCCAACCCGGAGGCCAGCTGGAGAGCATGCGCTTGCCCCTCGTCACTGACAAGGTACTGCCTTGGAGTTCCAGGGGGCCAGATGATCGCTGAGTTGGGGACATAGAAACATGGCTGTTTGGAAGAGTCAAGGGCATTTGGAGCAGGGCACAGAAATAGTGTGGCGACTGAACCTGGGGGATGCTGCTGAAGGTGTGGTTTTGGACATCACTCACACTTGAGCCTTATGATAGTACTTGCTAATTATGCGGTCACTTAATACAGCCGAGCCTTGGTTTCCTCGCTGGTAAAAGTGGGCAGTAATAATTCATTTTAAAAAGCTTGCTGATGGGCCTGGAGAGGTGGCTTAGTTTTTAGTTGGACTCCTTGCCTAACATGCACAAAACCCTGGATTCTCCAGCATCACATAAACTGAGTGTTGACTCATTCTGTAATCCTATCCTAGTACTGGGGAGGTGGAGACAGAAAGATCAGAATTTCAAGGCTGCATAGGTATTCAAGTCCAGTCTGGGCTACATGAGATCCCGTGTCAAAAATAGCTGCAACAGTTGCTGTAAGAGTTACTTAGACTAATCAACATGAGGTAACTACAGTACCTGGAACACACCGCATGTTGGTGAGATGTCCACCCCTCTCTCTTTTCTTTAATGCTCTGTCATGTAATGTTAGGCTAGGCTGAGGTAGAAGGAATAGGAGAAAGAGTCCAAGACTCCCTTAAGGCCTTTCCCCCAGTGTCCACAAAGACTGACCCATAGTCAGCTGTGTTTTCTGTCTTCTCTTCTCTTCACTGTAGGGTGGGGGAAAACGTCCCCAGCATCTCACCATTTCTCCCGTGAACAGTTCAGGGCAGGTTTCTAAACCTGTCCTCACCATCTCTCCCGCTACATAGATGTTCCTCGTAAGGTTCCTGGCTTCCCAGATCCAGCCCAACAGCCTCAGGATTGATGTTATTTACCAGCCTCTCTCAACAGACATGATTAGGAGATGCTGCTCCTTCAGAAAAGCAGCTGTCAGTCAAGCTGGACTTGGTCCTGCCAACCCAGCGGTCTGTTGCCAACAAGGCAACTCTTTGTACAGCACTGAGGGGTCTTGGCTACTAAGATGTCTCGAGCTCCTGGGATCTGGTGTTACTGTAGCTTTTTTGTAGGTATACCTGACAAGGTTTTTCCAGATGCAGCTCACTGTCCCAGCCTCCCAGCAGTTCCCACAACCACAGGTTGTGCATGTAGTAGGTGCTTTGAGAAATTCAGAGGCAACATGAACCCTAGCTCAGTAAGAGTTGCTTATTGAACAAAGGGCCAAAGGAGTTTTCAACATGAGAAATTACCACTCGCAAGTGAGGTATCTAGGCTGCACGGGATGTCAGCGTTCATAGTGAGTGGAGTGTTCGAGCATACAGGAATAACTCCTGCTAAGACCCGATTATACTACGAGACGATGATGGGTTTGGTTAGCTGATGGATACCAGTTAGGTTTTACTGTATACTTTATTGTATAATTTTTTGCCCAGTCCTGAACCAGGCAATATTTGGCCTCTCACTCTAAGGCCTGCAGGTAAGTGAGGTTTGGATGGCTGGGTATTCTGAATTCAATCACATTTACCCTTGTGTCTGGGTTAGCTGTCACTGGGTAGCGGCCAGCCAGAGGCATCTGTCTAGAGTGGCATCACTGGGAAACACTTTTCTACCTGGTACAGCTCTGAGCCCCAGCAGGCGAGCCCAGGTTTCATCATGGGCACATTCTGAGAAGACAGACTCTGCTAGGCCAGCCTCTGAACTGGGACAGCATAAATTTCCCCACATTTTATCACCTGCGTCCACTGATAATGCTCTCTTAGATTAGGAACGACTGCATCTTTCCATGGGAGATGTGAGAAGCGGTGAGGAGTTATGTCAACATTTACATATTCCTTCCCTCACTATCCCACTGCTTTGCAGAGTCATGAACACATCAAAAGCCCAACCTTCACTCCGACAACGGGCCGGCATGAGCACGGGCTCTTTAATTTGTACCATGCAATGGATGGAGCCAACCATCTACACGTGCTGGTGGTCAAGGAGTATGAAATGGCCATTTATAAGAAATACTGGCCCAACCACATCATGCTTGTCCTCCCAAGCATCTTTAACAGTGCTGGAGTTGGTAGGTGACTTTGGCACATGCTGCCAGGTATGGTTTCTGTGGACAAAGACTCGGGAAGGATGTTTTCACGGCAAAGAGCTGAATGGTTGACATCAGCTCTTTGCTTGCGGAATGACCGAGCTCATGGGTTTTAGCTTGGATGTACACATGTGTGCCAGTGCACAAGCATGTGTGTGGAGGCCAGAGGACAACTTTGGTGTCATTCCCCAGAAGCAGTCCACCTTGGTTTTTGAAACCTAGGTTTCTCATTGCCTCAGAGATCCTGCTGGCCTCTGCCTTCTCAGTGCTGGGATTATGCATACAGATCACTCTACCCTCATACCCACCTTTTTAAAAACCATAGGTCCTGGGGCTCGAACTCAGGTCCTTTTGTGTTTGTAAGACAAGTAATAACCAACTGAGATATCTTCTAGCCTCCGTGTTAGAATTTTGTTATAAATATCCATTAAAAAAAAGTTTGGTTATTGATTTAACTCATTTCCTTAGCTGTTAGAAAAAGAAAGAGCAAATGCATGTATAAACTATAGAGGGGGTTTCCTTATTGGTAGTCAGTGGTCACTGGGAGGGGATATGTGAGTTTGATTCTGGCTCGTCTGGTGTGGGCCCTGTCTGGTGTGTGTGGGTATAGGATGGGACCCTGAGTCAGGTTACTTGACCATCGCAGGGGCTGCACACTTCCTGATCAAAGAGCTGTGCTACCACAACCTGGAGCTGGAGAGGAACCGACAGGAGGAGCTGGGGGTCAAGCCTCAGGACATCTGGCCCTTCATCGTCATTTCTGATGACTCCTGTGTGATGTGGAATGTGGCAGATGTGGACTGTGCTGGAGAACGGAGCAGGTGAGGTAGCCTGGGCACACTTTTCCCTTCACTCAGAGCACCACGAAAGACAGTGATGGGGAGTCCCCTCTCAGCCTTGGGGGCCACAGTGTGCCTCTCATAACATGAAGCCAGGGCTCTGGATATGGCAGAAGTAGACCAAGTCCAAGTTCCAATTCTTCGGTTTTTAAAAATCTTGAATGAGAAAAATATTATTAATGAGATATATAATACATACAAAATGTAAGGGCCGGAAAGGTGGCTCAGCTGTAAAGAATTCTTGGCTACTGAGTCATTAGGTTGTAATTCAGAACCCACATAACAAGAGAGCCAGTCAGAAAATGCTTGTAACTCTCTAAGGTTTCATATGGTCCTCGCATGGAGACAAATATATACATTCAAGAGACACACATTTAAAATGAATCTTTAAAAACACACACACACAGAGAGAAAGAAAGGGAGGGAGGGAGGGAGGGAGGGAGAGAGAGAGAGAGAGAGAGAGAGAGAGAGAGAGAGAGAGAGAGAGCGCAAAGTATAGCATGTATACAGTTTCACAAATCAAACATACCCAGTTAGCTAATAAATGGACATTTATTAGCTCCCAAGTAGCTCCCATATAGTCTCCCAAGATGTCTCTCTTGTTGTCCTCTAGCCATGATCCCAGCTCTAAACCCTTCACTCTCGGCACTGATTTTGTCTGTGTCTTTTGGCAAGCAGCCATATCTTTTGGAGTTCTAGGTTTCTCGATTTTGAAGAGTTTCAGTCTCCAAGTTAGAGTTCATTGTAAAGATGAACTAAAACTTTCGTCTGTATGTGGGCTCAATACATGGAGTTTGACTATATTCTGCACATAGAAATAATAGTAAATGTGAAATACTTGCTAGGATACCTGGTGCCCCTTTGGTGGATGGTTCTGGGTTCAGTCCATATCCACACCCCATGCAGTTAGGAAACTATGCCCTGGCTGGCTTGCTCTTGTCTGTTTGT